GTGCCTTTGGGAGCCAGAACAAGCAGCTGTAGTTGTCTCTAGACACCTATGGATTGTTGAAAACAGTTGTGATGGTCTAAGGCTTTGGCTGGAGGTTTGACTGGCAATCCTTTGGCTTGAGGCAGCAAGGACAGCAAAGGAGAGTCCAACAGATGCTAATTGGAGATCCAACTCACCCCCACCTCCCATGGTCTTTACTGACTAACAGGAAGATGAACATCGGAAGGAATGCTTACTGTAAGAAATTAAAGAACTTAATATGAGCACTTACCATGACTGTAAGTGTTTTGACAGTGTTTAACATCTGCCTAAATACCTAGGAAGATGGATTTTCCCTCCTTTATCTGCATCTGACACTGTCATCAACCTCCCACACCCATTTCCTGCCTCTCCCTGGCCTGGACTGAGTGACTCCCTCGACAGTTAGTCAGCTCTTGCTGCCAAGTTAAAGTTAGTCCTGCAGTCTGGTTAACAAACCAGATTTATTCCTAACTTTTGTGGTGACTGGGAGAAAAGATTCAGGCATAGTGGGACCAGTTCCTTTGGAGGTCTCTCCCTGGCCTGTAGATGACATTTCCGTGTCCTCACATGCTCCAAAGCTCAGTAGCAGTGCCTGGACTCTTCTTGCAAGGACACTAGTCACACTGGAGCAGGGCCCACTTACAGATCCACATTTCACTGTGGTGACCCCGCTAACAGCCTCATTTCCTCATGGAGACACAATGAGGAACTGGGGTCAAGACTCCAGTGTGTGAACATAGATTCTGCCCTTGATAGAGCTCCAGCCAGGGACTTTTCCAGCCAATAAAGACTTTCTTAATTGCTCAACCCTCATTAGTAAGATCATCTCCCTAGTACCTTCCAGGAACCCTCAAATCTACCAAAAGTATTTCTTGTTTATTGAGCCACCCCTGCATACTGGCACTTCTGGGGGGCCAGTGTGCAAAGCCTGATAAACCTTGAATGGACCAGCCCATTCCCATTTTCTTGTATGTTTCCCTTCTCTGATCTCACTGAATCCACCCTCTCTTATCCCTCCTTCTCACTTTATGAGTCCCAGATGTAGTGACATTTTTAGAGTTTTGGTTTCTTTAAAAACAACACAGAAAATATCATAAAACTATCCATTTAAATAAGAATATCATTGTAATCCCAGGTGTGGAATATGAGGTTACTTCAGATTGTCCACGGCAGATGACTATGATTTGCCTTGAGCTCTTGCAGGCCCATGATTTTGCCAGAGGCAGATATCTTCTGCAATTGTGTGACATATAGAACTCTAGAAACTTTTCAGAAGGTATATAACTGCTGGGAGCCCGAGAGGCAGGGTGGGTTGGTGGTGGTTGTTGATAGTTGTGGTTTGTTAAGTAGTCATACACAAAGGAGGATGGAGAAAGGGAGAAGGAAGAGGAGGAAATTAGATATCCTGATGGCAAAGATCAAACTTGCCCCAATGAACTCAGCGTCCTTTATCAGCAGGAAGCATTCTCACACAACGTCGTCCCCTTTCCCCTCTATCCTATTTTTCTAGTGTTATGGGTTGAAAGGGTGAAAGAAAATGAGTGGAGAAGGGTGAAAGAAAGAAAGAACCCACAAAGTAGCCAAAGACAGCCATGCCCAGAGACCTAGAGTCCAGGATAAACTCAGCTTCCTCAGGCCCCGCCCTGCCCCAGGGTCTTGCCCCGTTACCGGTAGTTTTATTACAGACTAAGCTTGTTCTGAACCCTCGCCAGTCTGGCCTTTCTTATTTGTGACAATATGAGCTCATTTCCAATCTGTAGCCCCATTCTGTTCACCCTGCCGTGTCCTGCCATCCCTCTTCCCAGCCTGGGACTATGGGATGTTCCTCTGTCTTCTTTTGCTTTAGTATTATCATTCACTCTTGCTGTCACTTACTTTTACTTAGCTTTAGCCATCACAGGGGTGTGTCACACTGAGATCCCTTCACACCGCTGCCCACAACCATTGCTCAGTCAGCAAGAGGTACGAGATACTCCATTGACTCATAAAATTCACTAATCCACTTGCCCTCATCCTGTGCAGTTCTTTGATTAATCAAGTGACACTGCTGCAGACATGCTGGCCCGGCAGAGGCAGATCTCCAACAGCTGCACTAAGAAGAACATACCATCATAAGACATGACCATTGTGCACAGAACTCAGATCTATGTAGTTCCTGTGCTGGAGGACCCAGTGGCTCCCCAAGGTGCCTACAGACACCAGTTCCCAGCAGGCAGGACCCTGTGATTGTCAGCACATGAACATTACACCAAGCGTCTCATTTTGCCAATCAAGTGTCTATAATATCACACACACACACACACACACACACACACACATGCACAAGGAGGGGGCAGAGGGAGGGGAGAAGAGAATTAGACACAAAAACTGAGATCTGCACCCCAGGGGAAAGTTTTAGTGAACTGGTAGATGGTTCCTGAGAACAAAGATGGGTAAACTCTAAGGAAAGACCATTCTGAGTGGGGAAGAGGGCACAGTGAGGGATGGCTAGCAATGTGAGGCAAGATCAGGATGTAGACATGTAATAAGATGACAGAAAGAGGCCAGGAAGAGCCTGAGCGGAGGATGTAGTCCTCCCCAGGCACAGAGTGAAACCTGGTGCGCACCTGGAAACACAGGAGTGGGAGTTTCAGAAGGGTTTCAGAATCCTTCACTGAAATGGCAGTGGTGCTGGCAACAGCCTTTTCAACAGCAGCCAGCAAGCAATATCTTTAAAATTCTGATAGAAGATTGCTGTCAACAAGGAACTCCGTACCAGTTAAATAGTCATTCAAGAATTAGATGAAAATAAAGAGGATACATTCATCAGCTTAAGGAGAATAGCCCAGGAACACTTGCCAAGAGAACTGCTCAACAGAGGCGTTTTAGCTGGATAATGAGTGAGCAAGAAAAATGGCAAGAGAGGTTCCTACATATAATTAACTACTGAATACAAAAACCAATTTGATGGGTTTTTAAGGGAAATCAAAACTCCAGACAACCGTAGGACGAAGCAATGGGCTGAGATGGTGCTGTGCTGGAGGACCCAGTGGCTCCCCAAGGTGCCACAGCCAGTTAGTTCCCAGCAGGCAGGACCCTGTGATTGTCAGCACATGAACATTACACCAAGCGTCTTATCTTGCCAATCAAATGTGTATAAATTAATCTCCAATTTTGGATAAAATTCTATTTTCCTAGGAACGTGTGTGTGTGTGTGTGTGTGTGTGTGTGTGTATGCGCACATATATGGGTGGGTATATGTACATGTGTAGAGGTTGAATGTCAACTGTGGGTATTGTTCCTGAGGAGCTGTCAGTCTTTCTTTTTTGACACAGGGTCTCATTGGCTTGGAGCTCTCGAAGTGGTTTAGGCTGGCTGGGTGAGCCCTTGGAATCCACATGTCTGTCTCCCAAGAGCAGGAATTATAGGCATACACTGCTGTACCTGACCTTCTAAGTGGATTCTGGGGTTCCCATGAGTGTGTGTCAAGCATTTCACTGAGAGCCACCAGAAAGGGCCTCTCTACTGACATGTGTGGCCAGGCAGGAATGGCCTGCCTACTCTGCACCCCAAAGCTTCTCACAGCCCCTTTTGGCCCCAGTCTTTATCTATGTGTAACCAACAGAACATTCGGGTTTAAATTCAGCTGCCAACACCCATCTCTGCAGTGTTGATGGGACATCAGGAGACATGTGATCACAGGGCTACTGGGCTCCCACAGCTCTTGAGGGTTCTAGGTTTTATCATTTTCTTGTTCGGGGATACTTTCTTACAACTTACTCCCATCTCACTTTCACTTCTGAGGAATCTATCAGTAAGCCAATTGAAACCTATCATTTAAATTTATTATTGCATTCATAAGGGGATACCACAGGACAACTCTGTGGAATTGCTTCTCTCCTACCTAGGTTCTAAGAAGTAACTCATCTTGCCGGCCCGAATAAACCAAATGTGTTGTTTCAGATCTAGACTTCCACTTTGGTTCCCTCTTACATTTTCAGCTCCGTCATGCCTTGCTGCTTCCAAAATGTTTAGCAAGATTATATCAATGGGCACACTAGCTAAGGGCACAATTCAATGCCCAGGCCAGTTCATTTCCGATTGTTTCCCTTAGATTTGATCACGTGTCATGTTGCTCTGTGTGTGACAGGTAACTCACTAGACCTATGGAACTTGCTAGGATCTCAACTTCACGCCTCCAGAAAGGCGTGACCTATATCACCTCACTGCTCAGGATCCTCTGGGATCCGCAGCAGGGCTTCTATCCCCACCATATCTGGTAGTAAGGCAGTTTACCATGTTCCAGTAATCTCTCTTTTGGGGAGGGATTCCTTTTCTCTAGAGGATGACGCGGTTTAGGGTATATATTGACCTGGTATACCTGCCTCCCAAAACACCCTGCTCTGCAGGTTTCTAAATGGGAAAGGACAGGCTCTAAGTTTCCACACTGGGAAGGTCTGTGCAGAAACAGTCCCCCCACCACCACCATCACTATAAAAGGGACGCCTCTTTGCCCCAAGCCCTGCACCAGCCTGGGAAGCCAAGAGCGCGCCACTGCGGCTGCTGCTTCTGCGCAGGCGCGGAGGGCAGCAGTCCACTCCAGAGGCCTGAGGTCCGAGGGTCCATTGCCCTGGGAGACGGTTTGGTCGCAGAAGCATCTCTCGACTTCCCTCGGGTCCCCAAACCCTCCCCGAATCCACCAGCCCGTCCTCTCAAATTTTCTTTCTGGACTTGTCGCCCACCTCCAGCATAAGAGGCGGTAAGCGCACGCGTACCGAAGCCATCCCACCCCAGACCCGCGGCTTGACCCCCTCCGGCCTCCGTACCGCAGCAGCGTCTCCGTGGCGACCGTATAAGCCGCGCGGCTCGCTCGTTTGTTAGGCGGTGCCTGCGCCTCTTGGAGGCGGGGCAGCCGACGTGTCAGGGCGGAGTCGCAGGTGGGCGGGGAGGAAGAACGGGGCTGGAGGGTGGGATAGCTGTTACGTCAATCACCACTGGCCGGCTGGACTGGATGGGACCGGCCATCAGGTTGCGGGCGGGATCACAGACTGGCGAGCGTAGACTCTGGGATTGAGAGGACCGCCCCATCGAGCAGTGAGTCTGCTAGGGGTCCTGTGAACATCGGCCTTTGATGGCGCGGTGGTGGGAGAGGAAAATGACCAGGTCCCCTACCCCTTTACAGTGGCCGCACTTGGAAAGTCGACCTCCTCTTAACCCAGCCCAGGGTGAAAACGGCATCACTAGTCCTCTGCCTTCCTCTTGTCCACACATTTCCCTTACAATGTAATTTGTTGGAGGCAGAATCTTTCATCCTAATTCCAAAGTATAGAAAAAAGATACAATAAGCCATAGACTGTGCCAAAGCTTGGAGACCTTAGGGAGACCCACTCCCGGGGGTGGGGGTGGGGGGACGTGGTGTATCTCCTGCTAAAGCAGAACTAAGCTTCGCATGAATTGTCCACCTTTGAGACCAGCTCCTTAACTGAAAAATTACCTTCTCCTTAAAGGAGACTGAAACTAAGCACGTGTGCCAGACATTGGGCTGTCTAGTTGACAGATGATCTTAAACCTGTAAGCATTCCAGCCATCCTCTTTGCTTGGATGGTTTTGAACCTATACTTCACCTAAGCAAAAGGATTGTTGAACTAAGATGCAAGATTGTCATTGCCCAGGTTTTCCCCAGTGCCCACCTGGATACCTCTTTGGTCTGGTCTGGGCCAGAATGGGAGCTGGGGAAAACCTGACTTCAGAGTCTTGGAAACAAGAAGCAGAGGAATTCCCAGGGTAGAAATAGGAAACTCTCTTACCAAAAGCCTCTCCCCATTTTTCTGGTGATTTGCAAACTTGAGAAGTTCCCCTCTGTCTTTGTCCTGGATGCTTGTTTCCACTGGTATTTTCCAGTTAAAGTTAAACTGTAGTCAGGTGGCTGCTTGCTTGTTATCTCAGCACTTTGGAGGTAGATGTAGGAAGATCGGGAATTAGAAGCTCACCACAGTGAGTTGGAGGGCAGCCTGAGCTACTTGAGCCCTCCTTCTCCAATCATAATCATCATTTTCTTTTTCAAACTTTGTGGTACAGTGTGAGGAGCAAAGTATTTAACCAATACCTTCTTATGTTCCAGTATTTACAAAGTTTAAAAGCTAAATTCATGATACTGTTTTCAGCAACTCAAGCCCCTACAGATGTGCCCTAGCTATTCTGTCATCCCCCTCCCACCCCGTGTGACTTCTGGTTGCTAGTACACACACACCGACCCCCCCCTCCCTGTTTCCAGGTGACTCCATACCAAGAAGGATGAGCAGTGGCCACTGGAGAGCATCAAATGGAGGACACCAGCCCCGAAGCAGGGGCCGAGAAGGCTGCTAAAGAGCCCAAGGATGCTAAAGAGCCCAAGGCTGCTAAAGAGCCCAAGGATGCTAAAGAGCCCAAGGATGCTGCTGCTGCTGCCACCACCAAGAGCTTCCCTGATCCCTTTTCCAGAGATGATGATCAAATGGATTTTGAAGGGGTCATCTTTTCTTCCTCACCAATTTTAGACCTGAGTCAAAGAGGCCTGCGCCATTTGGGAAAGTTCTTTAAAATTCCCAACCTTCAAGTAAGTCCAGATCCTGGGAAGGTATGATGCACACGTGCCTGCAGCCAGAAGCAGAATCAGCTCTGTCCCTTTGTTGCTCTTGTTGGGAGAGGTGAATTCTAGGAGCAGCAGGAGGGTTAACTGGCGTTTCACCACAACAAAGAGCAGTTGAGATGCGGTGCCAGGCAACAGAGAGAGCTAGGCATCAGGATGGGGCAGCCTTTTCCAACCCATGGATTGTGTTTCTTTATGAGAAAGTTGGGTGGAGATCAGTGCCCAAACACCCTGGGTCTCTGATTTAAAAACACATGTCCTTCTGAAGTCCCCAGGCACTCTGAAAAAAGTTGGAAACTTTCTCTCATTTTCCTGATGTTACATACTGTTTTCCTTTGTGTCAGACCGGCAGGGCACTCCCTAGTAATGTGGCCCTGTCCCTGTGCTTTCTGGAGCAAGCAGCACTGAAGGCAGATGGGACAGAGGATGCCTCAGCCGTGTTGGCACTGCCTTGGTGTCACAGAATGGCCTTAAGTTGCATTCAGCTTTATCTGAAATCTAGAAACAGTACTGTGGTGTATTGTAAGATGACAGAGTCAAATACATAAAGACCTTGTCAGAGACATCACAGTGCTGAGGTAAGCTGTCCATTCACTCTGTTCATGTCTGCTCTCAAGGCATGAGAGGAGCAAGCACTCTTGCCCTTTTTCTGTGGGCGAGGTCTTGCTGTGTGACCCAAACTGGCCTCATATTCAGCAGTCCTCATGGCCTTGTCTGGCTGGCTATTATCACCTCTGGGAGTGCATTCTTAGTTACAGGGCCCACCTTTTCTGGCTGCTGTCACTAAGAAGTGAAACTCTCCACTCTCAGGGGTCCAATCAAGGTGACTGTGTGGTACTCATTGCCTTTATTCAAAAAGGAAGGAGGAAATTCCAAAGTCCTTCAGGTCTAACCCAGACTCATAACTATCTGAGAAGACAGGTGTCATTATGAATATATTACTATGCCAAAAAGTCCATGAGGTGATAACTATCCAGGGCAATAAGATCATTAGGGGTTATGGGCTTCATTTTGCAACTGCATAGCAATCAGTCCCCAAAGGTGTAAATTCCATGCTAGGGACATTGATGCTCAGAGGAAAGAAACCCTGTTCACATTAGGACCTGGAGGAAGGGCACAGCAGCACGTGCCTCACTGGCTCCAGACAGCACGGAGTCAGCCTTGCCAGGCTTGCTGGGGAGGGATGGCGTGTTACCCTCTCTGATGTCCATTTTCCCATGTTCAGAAGGAACTCTGGTTTCCACTCTGAGTATCAGGATTAGCTTCCACTGAGAGGAAAAGAGCATGTATGAGCAGGTTAAAGCCTCCTCTCTAAAAAGTCAAGCAGGGTCATGATGGGGTCTTGCATGTGCATGTCTTTGAGGACATGTGTCTTCATGTGCCCAAAGACACATATGCATGTATAAGGATGTGTCTCCTCATGTGTGTGGGGGCATCTGCCACCATATGACTGAAGAAGGCATTGTACATATGTGGGGAGGGGGAATGTATCCTCACATGTCTAAAGACAAGCACATGTGTATGCATGTGGATATGTATTCTTATGTGCCTGGGGATTTATGTGCATTGAGACATGCATTCTTATGTACATGGAGGTATACATGTTCTATGTAGGGTGTGTGCTCTGTGTACATGGAAGTATGCATAAGCATCCAGTCAAGGGCATTCGACATATCATGCATGCCAGCTGCCACTCCACTCTCCAGAGACCATGCCAGCTGCCAGCAGGAAGGGACTCATGGTCTCCAAACTGATGTTCTATTTTCATACTTACAGAACACCACTATTGCAATCAATGTTCTTCAAGAACCTGAAAGTCATTTATATCAGAAAGATGGGATCCGTAGAATTGAGAGCAGTGACACCTTGGGGGGAAGCTGCCGGGGGGAAGCTGCCTGTGGCTGCTGGTGTAGGAAAGCAGCACAGTTGTAATGGTGGACACACTCATACTTACTGTGTGAGCTAATAGCTGACACACTCACACTTACTGTGTGAGCTAATGGCTGACACACTCACACTTACTGTGTGAGCTAATGGCTGACATACTCATACTTACTGTGTGAGCTAATGGCTGATATACTCATACTTACTGTGTGTGCTAACGGCTGACACACTCACTGTGTGAGTTAATGGCTGACACACTCACACTTACTGTATGATTCTGCTAGGGAAGGCCCATTGCCCACTTTACAGGCAAGGACACCCAAGAACAGAGAGGAGCAGGAGCTTACTCAAGGTCACATCGCTCAGGGTTTTTGAAACCTAGATTTAAACTCAGGAATTGTTGCTTTAAGGTCAGTGTTCCTGATATCTGCTGCTGTCCCATGGCAAGTGTGGACACAAGTGTAAATGTGCAAAATAACACTTGGACAGCATATAGCAGCAACATCGATGGAGGCGGTTTAAAAATACCCTAGAATCCAACCACACTGCAACTATAAAATAACACATTCATGAGCCGACGAGCCGGCTAAGTAGGCAAAAGTGCTTGTCAAGTAAGCCTGGCAACCTGAGTTCCATCCCCAGAACCCATGTAAAGGTGGAAGGAAAGAATTGGATCCACAAAGTTGCCCTTTGAGTTTTACATATGTGCTGCTGTAGACCATGCATGCATGCATGCAACACAAAATAATAATAAAATTTCTAATATATACTTCTAATATATACACATAATCTTATATAGTATATATTTTACATATATATGTGTGTGTATATATGTATATAATATGTATATATGTGTAGATACACACGCACACACACACACATTTATATATATTTCCCCTTATCCAGGAGTGCTCAGTAGAAAATTTTAGACACAAACTATGTTTTAATAACATAATTTTTTTTTTTTTTTTGGTTTTTCAAGACAGGGTTTCTCTGTGTAGTTCTGGCTGTCCTGGAACTCACTCTGTAGATCAGGCTGGCCTCCAACTCAGAAATCCGCCTGCCTCTACCTCCCAAGTGCTGAGATTAAAGGCATGCACCACCACTGCCCGGCTCATAAAATGTATTTTTATGACCATTCTATTACATTATTGGTTATTGTTAACCTCTTGCTATGCTGACTTCACCAGCTACACTCACATCATGGGAGTGCACAGACAAGAAAGCAGAATAATATCCCATTGCTGTCTGCGGCTTCAAGCATCCACTAAGGGGTCAGGACAGTGCTTCACAGGACTTGGATCAAGCCACATGTATCATGTCTTCTTGCCTGCATGATGGCCTCTTTCTGTGTGACTGGTCATTACAGATCGTGCCACAGCAGAATGTGTCTGTGTCCTGTAGCTTCCTCCTCACTGCCAATTGGGAATGAATCAGATGTGGCTCTTGCTGCTTATTCACTGGATTTGCTGAGTGTGATACTGAGTGTAGCTAGAGAGAAGGAAAACAGTTGTAGGTTTTAAGTCTCTCTGGCTTTTGAATATACTGTTTGTTTGATTTGATGTGTAGTTGTGGTTGTTTTAGTCCTTTTGGAGATGGTTTTAAATTTCACTGGCTGACAAAGCATCCTCTGGTCTCCTTCTGTGGAAGCAATTACACCTGCAGAGGAATTTGCTCAGCGAGATTCCAAAGGATTTCTTCCAGCTGCTGCCCAACCTGACATGGCTGGACCTCCGTTTCAACAAGATCAAGGTTCTTCCATCTGGGATTGGCTCTCACAAGTAAGTGTCTTTAGATGTGCAATTAGATTGTCTTGATCTGGGCTGGGCACTTAAGAGGCAGAGGCAGGCATGTGTCTGAGGGTGTGAGGCCAACTTGGTCTATGTAATGAGCCTCCATCTCAAAGTTAGAAAGTCCAGATGGTTCAGACAGAGACCAGAGGTGCATGGCCAGCCATCCTAGGCACAGCCAACCACGTCATGATGGGCTCTTTGACATTTTCTTGGGCAGCTGATTCCACCTGACCCTGCTGTAGGAAGCTAAGATCAAAAGTACACTGAGTATATGAAAAGCCAGCCACATGTTGTCATTGGCTGTGGGGAATCTCCCCTAACTATTACGGAAGAGTTTTGATCCCTTTTGGAAATCTAGAAAGCTTCAAGCAGTGTGGACTGTCCTACCATATTCCTTCCTCTTGGCTTCCCAGGGTTTCCTGGAACTCCCAGTTGCAGAGCCCAATCTATCCCACTCCCTACCCCATCTGCAGGCTCACCACCTCCTTTCTTGGGTTCTCTCCATGCCACATGTCCTCCTGTACCAGTGTTAGCTCTGACTTGAACACTCACTTCAGACCTCCTATCACCTCATTGGCTGGGACAGAGGAAAAAGGGCACACAGAGTTCCTGAAGCAATTGGGCACTTACCAGGTGTCGGGAACCCGGTAGGAGACAAAGCCGACAAAGGCCTTGAGGACTTGGGATCTGTGTTCTCAACTTTGAAACTTATTTTGAAAGAACTAACTGAACGTGGGAGGGTTAGATTTAGACTTGGCCCTAGATCACTGCCTAAGGAAGGAAGCTTTAGAGCAAAGGGTAGATGCGGGAAGATTTGGCAGGCAGCTAGGGAAGCAGTCCATGCAGGAGGCTTGGCCAAGCTGACCTTGGCAGGACCTCAGGGGATCTCAGAGCTATTGGGATTGGCATCATAAGACCAAAAAACAAGAGTCATCCAGGAGTGACCCCAGTTCCCATGTAGGGGTATCCCAGTGGAGGTATCATGACTCCACTGTGTAACGTAACAGTGTAAGGTTTGCAGAGGTTAAATTGTTTGGGAAAATGTAAATTAAAAATGAAAAAAAATCGAGCACTTGGCATACATGATGATGAAAGCAAATGCCCTTGCCTTCAGTCTCCAGCTCAGCAGGAAGCAGCTTGCTTTTATGTGTTTGAGCTACGGGATGGTCCAGGAACCCTCCTCTGGAGCTGTAGGGACCTTGGGAGCTGCAGGACAAGCTATAGATGGACTGATAAGGGGAGAGCACATGCCTGGCCAGCTAGCTGTTGTTAAGACTGAAGAGATGGATCTCTCAAGGGCCATTTCCACCCGTCATGGCCCATGTCCTGTGTAGAGTGGCTTTCTTCCTCACAAGGGAACCATCTCTATGCGGGCTACCTAAATGTTTTTCATCCACAAAATATTTTATTGTTAATACTCAGTCTGGCAAGTAGCTGTTAACCCCTTGAGGGTTAAGGTCACAAAAGCTCTGCTGCTGAGGGGCCCCACTTCCTGCTTCACCCCAAAAGAGGAATTCCATCCCCAGATCTGGAATCCTTGGATTTTGACAGTCAAAGCCAGCTGCTTTGTGTTGTTTAAGTAATAATTGAGCCTCTGATTTTACACCCATTATGCCATTAAAATTGAATCCACTTGCTGATGGGCTGAAACATATTCATTAGAAATTTTAAGTAATTATGGGCTCATTAAAGGCTTTAAAGTTAAAAAAGTAATTAAAGCAATAGTGTCATCAGAGCCCCCTCCCCCACTTCACCATGTGTGGATGTTTGAGCGTGGCACAGAGATTAAAGCAAAGCCTCGTCCTCCTGAGGCTACAAGCTGGCAGGTGCTTGTGCAATTGTAAGTCGGCACTGTTATGACCAGTGAGGACAGTCTGGTACCATCAGAACACACAGACTGACACAGGCTCTTCATCACATGGGTATTGCTATATTAAGTAGAAACTGCCCTGCATACTTTCAGCTTAATATTTGGTAAATATTAAATAAGTATTCTTCCAAAAGAAGTCAAGCCAAATGGACTGGAATGCCTTTGGCTCTGGTGCCAGAGAAGTCCATGGCACGTTGTTGTGTCTCTTGTCTTGAGTCACAGTCAGCTGCTCCCAGAGAGCTGGCACGTCCTTGCTGGCTGTTCCCTTATGAGCAGATTTAAAGAGCAAAGCCGATGAGCTGAGTCAGGAAGGTTGCCGTAACTAACCTCTGTGCACATCGCTTTAGGTTTCCTGGGGCGAAAGAAATAGGTCAACAGTTTAAAGGGCTTTCTGGGGAGCAGGCTAGTCCCTCTATAAATGCCCACATGGACAGTTCTTGACTCTCTGTAACTCAAGTTTCAGGGGATCTGACACCCTCTTCTCGCCTCCATAGGCATATGGTACATGTACATACATTTAGGCCCTAAAAACCATGCATATATATAATTTTCTTTAAATAGTAAATCTTTCAAAAAAAAAAAAGGAATGAAAGAAAAGTTTATTCATTACTTCAAATAAGGCAAGACATGGCTCAGCTAGCACTGGCCACAAGACAAAGCCTATCTATCTTCAGATGAACAGCACAGAGCAGGAACAGGCTGTCTGAGAGCTTGTGCCAGATTTTGGCTGAGGGTCCTTGAGAAGTAAGGGAGGAGAGAGTAATAAATTAATAATGGGTATAGCTGTAAGAATTAAATCTGAAAACCAAAACATAACAGGTGCCACATTCATGTTGTCCTCTGACTCTGAGCTGTTTGCTGATGGTGCATGGTGTGGGTGTGTGTTAGGACATTTGGGACCCAAGAAAGGAAAATGAAGACTTTATAGAATGTCACTTAATCTTCTGCTTTCTAAACTGTTTTTTTTCTTTCTCTTAAAGACATTTGAAAACTTTGCTCTTAGAAAGAAATCCTATCAAAATGTTACCCGTTGAGCTAGGTAAGTGCCGCAGCAGTAAAATGGCAGGTGGCTTCAAATGCTTTGAAGTTCCAAGGGCTTGTGACGGAGAGAGCTGAGAGGCATAGCTGAAAGGATAAAGTGGCAGAGTGTTCAAAGTCCCTCTCCCAGTTTATTAGTTACTCTTTCTGTCGCTGTGATAAAACACCCTCACAGAAGCAGCTTAAGAGAGAAAAGGTGTATTTTGGCTCACAGTCAACAGGTTCACAGCAGGAAGGTAACTGAAAGTCAGATTGCACCCACAGTCGAGAGGCAGAAAGTGGTGACTTCTGGTGTTCACCTTTTTCTACAGTGCAGGACCCCAGCCCTGGGAATGGTGCTGCCCACAGTGGTGGTGGGGATCTTTCTACTTCATTTAACCTTATCACAATGTTCCCCCCAACCCCCACAGACATGTCCAGAAGGCTGTCCCCAAGTTCCTTACAGATTTTAGGCCTGTTCTCAGGTAGAGGGGTTAACACTGTTACATGTGTTGTCTGTGCCAAGAACAGACTAGGCTTTGCATATAGTGCACAGCCTAATGAAACCTGGCCATCCAACTCTGTGTATGGCCAGCACATGGCTTTGCTTTGGGGGGGGGGGGCATTCCACTCTTGAGTCCAAGCTGCTTTGTTTCAGTGCCCTCCTTTGGACTTAATCTCACTTCCCGAGTAGGTGTACGGGGCCATTCACTCCCTCGTGTGCAGTTTCTCTGCTGCAAATGAGGCTGGTCATTTTCTCCTTTACACGTTGGTTTGTCTTAGTTTCTGCTCTCTCCTATCTTTGTCTAGTTAAGCTTGCTTTGCTTTTTCTTTTTTCAGCTTTGTTGAGTTGGAAGCTTGGGTTTTAACTTCAGTCCCTCTTTTCTAACATACATTTGAACTGCACTTTATCCTAAACACTGCCTTCACTCCATCCATGGGGTCCAGCTTGTCACTCAGCCAACAGTATTTCCTGGTGTGATTCACCCGTGGCTTATCTTTAAGTTGTTTTCTTCTCTGCTATGACCAAGCACCTGACAAGAACAGCTTGAAGGCAGGAGGACTTGTTCTGGCTCATGGTAAAGAAGGCATGGCAGAGTTCACTGTGGCAGGAGTATGCAGCTGGGTCAGGAAGCAGAGAGCAGGGAGTGCTGCTGCTCAGCTCAGCGATGTCTGCTTTTTTGCTTTTTCAGTCAAGGACCCTGATCCATGGGATAGGACCTCCCAGGTTCAGGGTGGGGTCCCCTCCCCTCAGTTAATCCTTTCTGGAGACACTTCATAGACACACCAGAGGTGTCTCCTGGGTGATTCCAAATCAGCCCGGTTAATTATAAAGATTAGCAGAGCTACCTCCTTAGCTTATACAAAACTAGAGATTCTCCAGCTAGCTTCATGTGGTGAGTGGTGCTTTGCCATTTAAAAGGTGGAAACTCTCAGGCCAGGTAAAAGCACAGAAGCCGACTGTATGCAACCCACTCACAGTCACTAAAATTCAGGGGATGTGAGCAGCTAGAAGGGAAGGGAAGCAGCACGAGGACAGGAGTGACTTAATGTCATTGTGTCACTGAAGCACTGTGCATTTTAAAGAAGATGGACAGCTATCTTTGGGAGAAGATCTTCCCTTGGTCTTCTTGACATTATCAGTTGGCCATGAAGCTCACCTAGAAGTGGGAATGTAGGGGAAGGTGGTCAAATGGATGAACGTGGGCGGAAGGAAAGATCATGATGCGGTCTGTCATTCACACAAGCAAATACAGAAGATGACGGTTGGTTTTCACCTGGCCTTGAGCCTAGGGTGGGAAGTGGATCCCTACGACATTCTTAGATATTGTCAATCCAGCCAGGTTTGGTGACTCATGCCTGTAATCCCAGCACTTGGGACCTGAGACGGGAGGATTGCTGTGTGTCTGATGAGAGCCTGAGGGTTATACAGTGAATTCTAGGTCAGCCTGGGCAACAGTAGGGTGAGACCCTGTCTCCACAGAAACAAAATAAACAAATGAATAGTAACTGTCAATTCTCATTACCCGTTTCTCCATCTTTTCTTCCTCTTTCCTTCCTCCTCCTCTCTTTTAAGCCAGCCTTTTGTAGCCCAAGCTGGTCATGAACTCCCCATGTAGCTGAAGATAACCTTGAACTCAGGAGCTCCCTGACTCCACCTGCTTTCCTCTCCCTCCTGAGTCCCTCTCCAAGAAGTGGGCAGAGAACTGAAATTTCCCCTCCACTCCAGGGCAGGTCACTACACTGACGGCATTGAACCTGAGACACTGCCCTCTGGAATTCCCTCCTTACCTGATTGTGCAGAAAGGCTTGGTATCCATCCTCACCTTCCTACGCATCTGCTCCGTGGAGAATGCCTTCCCTGGAGATGAGTCGCTTCCAGGTTTGTAGAGAATTTTTTATTAAAATTTATAAAATTTATAAAATGTGGAGACAGAATATTTTATTTTTTGATGAGAACTGAGAATGTGGCTTCTCCAGCCTCTGTGGGGCTCACATGGCGAAAGCTAGCCCTTACACTGGCCCAAACACTGTGACTTGCCCTGGCTCAAGTCCACTCTGAGCAGTCCACACTTGTCTGGGTAGACATGGTAAAAGTTCATTGGATAAGGCAAGTGGAGCAGTCTTTGCCTCCAAGCCACTAGCAAGCAGTTTCTCTGAGAGAACCTTGTGCTCCTCCAGACAACTTTTTTAAAAGCTCCATGGAATACATCCTGTTCCTGCCTAGATACTAAGAGCTAGCTCAATAAACATATTGTCCCCTTGTGGTGAGATACTTAAACTGCCCCATTTTGTCAACATATTGAGCAGTCAGAAAGGAGGAAGGGGAAGGGAATGGTGCACCAGTCTGCCCTGGTCATCCACTGTGAGCGTCCCAGGTTGCAGTGCTTTAAAGTAATCACATTCATAAAGGGCCTTAGCTGATGTCAGTCCCTGGCTCTGAGTCAGGGATTAAAGGGCCTGTGGGTGGTTATACAGGTGCCCCAGAAACACTAGAGGGAGTGGCGCTGGACAGCAGGGAAGGTGAGGAGCTGCACTTTAGCAAGCCCCTGGGACTCTTGTGTGCAGTCTGGGCCTCAGGAGTTCCTGTGCTTGCACGGGGACCTAGCTGAAGGCTCCTCCTTGGGTGGCACCTAACTCCAGTGCCTTATGTAAAGGCACATAATTTAGGGAAAACCCACATGTAGCAAGCCTCTGAGAGGTTGTGATGGCACCCTAAGTCCCTGAAGGACAGCTTGACAAGGACAGGATAAGAGAGGAAAGGCAGGGTAGAAGGCACTGCATGTCTGGCAGGAGCAGGGGCAAGCATGGGATTCTGGAATCCTGAGAGGCAGGGGTGAGAGTCTGGAGGCAACAGCTACTGTACTAGGGGGTCTGGAGCAGGTCTGGGGCAACACCTGGGGCAAGCAATGCAGATACTAGAGGACGTGAATGTCAGACCTCAGTGAAAAGGCATTCTGTCCTCAGAAGTGAGAATACCACAAAAGAGGGGAAGGAAAGGCCAGGCTGGAGGAGACTACAGGCATAGGAAGTTGAATACACCACACTTCCTGGAAGACACTGGGTCTGTCTGACACCAGGAAATGGTGCAAGAAGTGTCACCAGGACAGCTATGGGAGTTCAGGTCCACATGACATGACAGATGACGGAAGTCAGAGTCACCTTGGCACTGGGGTAGGGTTTGGGACTGGAAGTCACTCCTGTTTTGACAGGTTTTTCCTAAGTGCAAGGAGGGGATCAACGGTAGTCAAGAGTAGTCAAGGTGTTTAGCACCTAAGACCAGAAGATGCTAGGTGGTGGAGGAGTCACTCTGCTTGACCCCGCACCTTGACTCCTGTCCTGACCTCCTGGCTCATGGTGCCGAGCCTCTGCCTGCCTGAGGGCAAGTCTGCAGCCGGGTGCCACACTACCTCAGCAGTCCTTGGACTTGTTTTTTTCTCAATAGCTGGCCCAGAACTAAAAGTCAGCAAAACATTGCCAAAGAACAGCAGGCACAAGGGCTAGCTTTTAATTGAAATAAAGATTCAAGATATCTTGGTGGAGGGGAGCAGAAATGCCCATAAGGGTGGCAAGGATGCCTCATGCACATGGGCCAAGTGTACAGTAGATGGAGAATGCTCAGGACTTTTGATGAAGTGTGTCCATCCCCCACCCAGTAGCTGCTGTGGGTCTGTGGCATCCTGTGGGGTCCAGCTAGCCCAGACCTGAGAGGACTCCCTTTCACCTCCCAGACATCTGAGGAAAGAAACAAAGGCTGTGGGCCTGGCCGCTAGCTGATCCTGAGAGTGGCATTGACTTATCGGCCACTGCTTTAGGCATAGTCTCATGTTGGTGTGATGAAATGCCCAACAGCAGTAACTTACAGAAGAAAGGCTTATGTTGGCTCAGGATTTGAGGAGAGACGGTCCATCTGGAGAAGTCATGGCAGCAGGCACTTGAAACAGTTGATTGCAGTGTGTCTGTGACTGGGAGGCAGAAAGAGATGAACTCTGGTGCTCAGCTGTCTGGGTCCCCAGCTCATAACATGATGCCACCCACGGGTGGGTCTTCCCTCCTCAGTTAAACGTCTCTGAAAACACTCTCACAGACCCAGAGATATGTCTCCCAGGTGATCCTAAATCCAAACAAGTTGTCAATGAAGATCGACCCCACAAACACTGAAATGTCTTTTTATTCCACCAGAGGTCTCAGCACCTAAGATGGGCAGCAACGACCTTCCGTACCCTGTGCTCCCTCTGCCCCATAAAAGCTCGCCCATTGATGGTCCAGATCAGGAGGCAGCTGTGGTAAATGAGAAGACTGACTTCTTCCCACCCATGGACAGGCTATACCTGAGTGAGTTCCGCAGATCCAGTGCCTCCTCTGAGATCTGGCCCAGTAAGGAGGAGATAAGGCGCTTCTGGAAGCTGAGGCAGGAGATTGTAGAGAATGAGCAGGTGGAGATTCAAGAGAAGAAGCTCTTGGCTTTTGAACTGCCACCAAATCTCAAGGCGGCACTAAATGCCAAGGAGAGAAAGCGCAGGAAGCCATGGCCCACAGTCAGGTAAGGCTGTGCTGAGGCAGACTACCTGATCAACAGAGCTGTAAAGTTATTTCATGATCCTCTGAAGCACAGTGTCCACTTCCTAATGTGCTTGTCTGTTCTAAAACCATTTTTTAGGGTATATTGGACCAGCCCTGAGTATAGGAGCAGAGCAGACCAGTGTTACTGAACACACTCGGCTGAGTAGGGCATGTAACTGAAATCCAGCTCATGGGTGGTGTGTGCATGCAGCTGATGTGTGTATTGCTGCATACAGAGAGAATGTGTTCAGTCCAGCTGGCACATCCTCCAGAGATACATCATTATATCTCAAAGAACAATAATGGGCTCTTGGGGGTGACAGACTCTTAGAACTGACAATAACCAGTGGTTTAAACCTCTATCTGGACATTTGGGAAGATATTCACAGAAGCTGTGGAGTCTGAAGATGACAGACAGACCTTCTTGGAGAGCAGCTAGCTCTTTAACTATGCTGTGGTTTTGAACATTGTAAATGTTATTGTGAAGGTGTGTATAGGCATATGTGTGGGTCTATTTGCCTATATGTGCACATCTAGAGGGTAGAGGATGACTTCACATGTCTTATTCTGCACCTTGATCTTTGAGTCAGGCTTGCTCACTAAACACTGCTATTTCTGTTAGTCTGTCTGGCCAACAAGCCCCTAGGATCCATCTGTCTTTGCCCCCCACCCCACAGTGCTGGGGTGGCGGGTGCATACCACTGCACTTGGTTTTCTACACGAGTGCCTGAGGTCCAGATTCAAGTCTTCACACTTGTACAGTGGGCACTTCACCCACTGAACCGCTTCTGCACTTCCCGGGTTTGAACATTCATCTAAATCTTAAAGCACACATACACATTACAACCAAAAAGTTTTGACACCTTGCACCATGGCCTGTGGTCTTGGTGGCCTGGGGCTACTGAAATGTTCTCAGTTTGAGTCACAGGCAATGAGAGCAGTAGCATTCTCCTCTGCTGTTTAGAAACCTCTCTCTGCTGTGCAGTGGTGGTGCACGCCTTTAATCCCAGCACTTGGGAGGCAGAGGCCAGCCTGCTCTACAGAGTGAGTTCCAGGACATCCAGAGCTATACAGAGAAATCCTGTCTCGAAAACCAAAAAAAAAAAAAAAAAGAGAGAGAGAGAGAGAGAAAGAAAGAAAGAAAGAAAGAAAGAAAGAAAGAAAGAAAGGAAGGAAGAAACCTCTCTCCTCCCTCTTATGAATAATAATGCCAATTTATTCTGGCAGTCATGGTCTGCTCTCTAAAAGTACTTAAGTTTGTTTCTCTGTCCGACATAGACACCAGAGTTCAGCCCTGGGAGACTGATGTAACTTGAGAGGTTGGAATATTCAGTGTGTGGCCACCCTCCCTCTGGTTCTCCCGGATGACCCTGTGCCACCTCCTGGGAATGGTTTAAGGATGTCCTTTCCTATGGACTTTCCTATGGCTCAGTCACTGATAGACACCTGGAGGCCAGAGTCCTCAGTTGACATGGATCAGTACTGAGGCTTTCTCTGGATTGCTATAGCTGGGACCAGTGACTATTTCAGTATACAATGGACCCAACAGGCCTGCTTTAAGCTTTTCTGCTATTTATTAGGGCAAGGGCTGGGGTCTCGGTTTTACTTTTTTGAGACAAGGTCTTACACTGTAACTGTCTTTTCAGTTCTTCATGTGTTCATCATTGTTTCTCCAGCAAGTATGCTTACCGTCATATAGTTACATTTTCAGCTGTAAACATTTTGTGATTTTAGAAAGAGGTCTACCTCCTTCAAAGGCATCTTGCCCACCCTCTCTTCAACGTACCAAAACACAGTTCATACAAAAAGGATGGAAGTCACTCACAAGGAGGAGACAATGCTGGAGCAGCGGAGGAGGTGCGCCTGGGCTGGGATAGCGTCAGGATTGGGACCTCCACACCATGTTGGTGTGGTTTTGTCACCAGCCTCGCCAGGGAACTGATGGCTTCAGTTCTCCTGGCCAGGCTGGGTCAGCTGCCTTCATTTGGAAGCTCTTGCTTGCACATTTCACATGGCCTACAGTTCTCTGAGATGCCCAGCCTCTTGCTCAGCCCTTCAGAGACTCCTTGTTAGACTTGCAACATGGTAGTTAGTGGGTATCCTTCGAGTAGTTTATTGTTCCCTGCCTTTCTCTCATAGATGCCTGCATTTTCCAAGTGCCTTGAGCTTTTTGTCCCCCCACAGGCCAAGTACCTTTCTCTTCCTCTGCCCATCCTAGAGCCTGCCATCATATCTAAGAAATGTTGTTAGAAGTAACTGGCCACCTGTGAGCTTCTCATGTCGGTGGCACACTGGCACTCCCTACCCTTGGGTTCCTGTGCCTAGCCTGTCACCCCCACCATTCTCAACAACTGTTCTTCTCTGCCCTGTAGCTCTACTGACAACCCAGCTGTGTCCTGTTCTGGGCACCCTCCAGCCAGCCAGTATGGACCACATCCACAGTACCACAGGGCCCCAAGCCTCATGGTTGGGTTTGGCCAGTGGGGGATCCCTGTGGATATGCACGCGCTGGTTAAAGCAAGGATGGACTCTCTGTGTCCTTAGCTTCTGTGAACCTCCTAGTCATATCCCACATGCTACCTTTGACTTCACCTTCTCTCCAGTTTAGTTATAGTTTTCCTTACTGCCCCTGTCCTGTCCTGTCCTGTCCTGTCCTGTCCTGTCAGGATCTGGGATCCTGGCCACATCAGGCACATGTCCCTGAAACCTCCCACCCCTCCCCACTGAAGCCTGGCTATAAATAAACCTCCTGAGGCCACAATCAGGAAGTCTGCTTCTGTTTGTCTGGGACCTAACTGGGGATGCACTGCTCACAAGCAGCATTCGTGGTTGCCTATGGCTGACACCATAGCAGACACCCTGTAGTCAGTTTTCCTCTTCTATAGTGGGTCGTCCACCTTTGTTGAGAGCATGCCGTGTATACAAAGAACCAGTGACTTCTCTCCATTATCCCACTTCTGTGTTGTGCCACCTTGCTGAGCAGCTATGGGGGGTGGGCAACCTCACTTTCCCAATTAGGAGCTTCCTAAGGGGCGAACAAACCCCTTCTGTTCCTTGTGATGGAGAGGTGGCTGATGAAATGGAGTCCCTTGTCCAGGAGCTAAGCAGGAGATTTGAAGCACATCCAAACAGTGAGGACTGGGGACTTGGACCATTTAGGCTGGTGGCAGGACATCTAGGAGGAGGTATAGAGGAGGACCGAGCTCTATACCCCATGTTGGAACCTAGGGGACCCTGGAAGTTCTAAGAAACCTACACAGGAGATGGGGTTCAGGATGGAAAAGAGAAATGGGGATGCCCAGACGAAGGCAGGAAATGCGTGAGCTAGTGCCCATGTGTCTCTCTCTCAGGAGGGCAAGAAGAGGCTGATCTGGAACAGGATTTGGGGTATCAGCCACTAGAGCTGATTGCTAGAGAGGGTTCTAACAGAAAGGTGCACTTGGGGCAGGCAGCAGAGGTGGCTTTAACCTAGCAAGGCTTCGTTCATCCCCACCACTTTAGACATTGTAAACATTTGTATCCCTAGAAACTCACTTGGCCTCCGGGGGTCGAGTGAGATGGAAGATGTGTATTTTCAAGTATCTGAGAAGCTGCTGTGACCCTCAGCAGAGTCTGCAGCCTGTGATGCAGTGCCACGAGCCTAGCTCATTCCTCACTGGGAAATGGGACTTGGGGAATCCGGCTGCCACAGCAAGGTATCAGCCTGCAGTGTGAAGGGCAACCTACATCCAGAGGCTTTCAGTTGGGATCTGCCTACCCTAGTCTCCATTCAAAGTGTTTTGGAAGAAGCCCAGCTGAAGTAGAGGGGAGGAGAGGGAAAGGCTACCAGTCTCTCACTGTGGAGAGATAGAAGGCTTAGTGAAACTGAAATGACAGCAGATTTTGCAAGCTCTACTTGAAGTAACTTGTAGCTTGTGACTTTAATGTGACCATGCTTCTTCTCCAGAGACAAGAGAGCTCTGCAGGAGTGGAGAGAGCAGACCCAGCTGATGAGGCACAGGAGGGAGCTCAGTAAATTCCAACCTCCACATAGGAACATGGTACGTGGCAGGCAAGGTGGCTCCAGTCCCATGTGTGAGCGGGGTGGGGCCAGGCTATTCCTCTAAGTCAGTGGTGCTGCACACAGCCCCACCTTGTGAGCACTGCAGCTGCCTTGGGCTTTGAAGCTGCTCTCTGCCCACTGACTGCTGGTTCCATCTGAACGACTCAATGCTCAAACTTGAGGGGAAAAGAGCAAACCACTAAGGTGAGATGTGTCTCTGGGTGTCATCCTATAAAGTCTGTACCCACAGGCCAGACACTTTGGGACCTAAAGAACTGTGGCCTTGCAACTCACCCTCCACCCCAGGGTCCCCATGAGGCTGTGTCTCACAGGGTGTCTGTGCAGCACCTCTTGCAGATCCTGGGCCCATAGGGCACAGGACAGTCAGAACCAGGGAGCTGCCTGCTGCTCTAGAACGTACCTGGCATCCTCTGTACTTGGGTCTAGGCAGGCAGTGTACTTCTTAGCTTATTTACAAAGGTTTCTTTTTCTTTTCTTTTTTTTTTTTTTTTCTAAAAAATACTCTCTGGATCTGGCCAGGTGGTGGTGGTGCACGCCTTTAACTCCTGCATTTGGGAGCAGAGGCAGATGGATCTGTGTGAGTTCAAGGCCAGCCTGGTCTACAGAGTGAGTTGCAGGACAACCAGAGCTACACAGAGAACTCCTGTGTCAAAAAACAAAAACAGTTTCCCATGTCAAACAAGCCAATAAGTCAGTAGCTGAGGAAGGCTTTGCATAGTCTAATGTAACCACTCTGTGCTGGCCTGCTGATGAGGTCAGTGTGCACAGTTCAAATCTTCTTTTTAAAAAAAAACTAATTTTAAAATCTATAGTAAAGTTCCAGAGTCAATGCAGAGTTCCATACACCCCTCCTCTCTTCCTTTGATGTTGCTATTCTCCCAGATCACAGAGCAGTGCTCAGAATAGGCATGCCTGATGCTGCAATGTGAAGGCGGAAAGGAAGACTGCCCATTACCACCTTCTCCACAGGCACCCTGATCCAGTGGGGTCCTCTTGTCCACCAGCATTCACGCTGTCTGGTGTACTCTAGCTGAACCCTGTGTCTCACTGTGCCTTCCCTGACCTGATACCTTGGACTCCTGGTTTTTATCAGTTTTATCTCCATCTGATTCAATTCCTAGGGTTTGGTGAGAGATTTGTATTAGGAAAATGGATACCACAAAGCAACCAGTGTGTCTTCCTCTGGGCTTCTTGTCACCGGTTCACATGTACCCAACTGTGGTGATTTGAATGAGAATGGCCTCCAGAGGCTCCTATGTTTTAATGCATGGTCCACAGTTGGTAGAACCCTTTGGGAAAGACTAGAAAATGTGGCCTTGTTGGAAGAAGTGTCACCAGGGCTGGGCTTTGAGGTTTCAAAAGCTACACCATTCCCAGCCATTAGCGCTCTCCCTCTCTCTCTCTCTCTCTCTCTCTCTCTCTCTCTCTCTCTCTCTCTC